GGGGATGGGGGGAACCCTGCAAGATTAAAGGAGCGGCTACACAGCCCACTTCCACTGCTAATTCAGTAAGGCCTTACCTATAAAAGTTGATGCAGCCTTGTACGGAGTTAGTAAGAAGTGCTGAGATGACTAGTGGATGCTGGAGCAGCTGGGTGCTGGATAAGAATGCCAGGGCTGGTGGGGATTACTAATGTAAATCATGTCAACTATTTCATTGCTGTCATTTTAACAGAAAGATCTCCCCTGCTATTTTTGCTTTGGGAGCAGGCTATTTTTGGATAGGTATAGCACTTCACATGTGCATGCAAATGTAAAATAATTTGATTTAATGTACAATATAAAGTGTATACAAATTGCTAGAATCAATGGGCACCTATATGTGCTGGATGCCTGCTAGAGCATGTACTAATTAACATGTGTTAGAGCAGACTCTATTAATTGCTCTGATTAGCATGCTCCAGCAACCTCCATGTCACATGTACTCAGCATTCCTATGCTTCAAAATGGTGGCTGGGGCGCTTTAACTAAAGGTCATTGAACACTTTAACTGGGGTGCTTTACCTGAAGCCTCCATTTTGAAGTGCAGGACACTGAATACACATGACACTGTTGGCACTTTAACTAGAAAAGCTTCCAAGAGCTGCTCTAATTAACCCCCCTTCCCCCTCACCACCAGGGAGCATGTGTATAGATGCCCTAGAAGCTTTTATACAAAGATAAGGAAACCAAAAGAAAACAATGACATTCACTATGTAATGTCTGTAACATGCCAACTCCAGGAAAGCACTGAGCAATTTCATGAAGTAAGAAGTGAGTAGATAACACTTTGGAAGACAGGATTAAGATATAAAATGATCTTGCTAAATCAGAGAAATGAACTGAAATTAACTGCATGAAATTCAGAGAGGACTACAATACTACAGAAAAAGATATATAGGTTATAGTGGATTTCAAGCTAATTATGAATCAACATTGGAAAGGGGGCACAGGAGAGAAAAATGGCGGGGAACAGCTAACAGCATACTAGGATATCTTGATTAGAACCATCTAATGCAAGTAGCAGGAAATTATTCTTTCAGTTAATACAGCACTAGTGAAGCCTCACCTGGGGTAGCATGAGGCACCACACTTCAAAAAAGGCACACACAAACTGGGAAGAGTCCGGAGGAGAGCAACAAAAATAAAGAATGACCCAGAAAACATACATGGAAAGGCTGGAAGAACCGGGGCTATTCCATCTGGAGAAAAGAAGACTTGCGGCAGGGGAGAGGGGCTTGAGAACAGTCTTCAAAGAGAAGAAGGGTTTGTCATAAAGTTGATGGTGATAGACTGCTGTCTGTCTCTACAGGACAAGTAGGAACCATCTGGAATACAATCTGACTGTATTCCATCTTAAATTAAGTCTCTTACCTTCTATGTGCCTTGTTAAAAGTCATAGGCACTACAGAAAAATAGGGCTAGAAAGGAACTCAGGAGGTCCAATCCTGCTCATTGCAGGCTTCTCCCTGTCAAAGCCATCTTACCAAAAGTGTTTGCCAAACCTGAGTTTAAAAACTTCCAGTTTGTGGAAAATTAGTCTCTCTCAATAATAGTCTGTTCCAGTGCTTAACCACCCATGCAGCTCTTCCGAATACTAAATCTAAATGTCCCTTGTTAAATTTAAGGGACTCAATTTAAGACAGAATACAGACAAATTCACTGCTGTGTGTTCTCATGCTGAAAAAAACATTTTTGCAACAGCTTCATCAACAGATTTTCAGAGCTCCTGCGGTAAATAGCCATAACTGCTCATCACTTTTGAA